TTTGTGGTCACTCGCTTGTTTGTGTGTTTGTTTGTTTGTGGTCACTCACTTGTCCTTGTTTGTGTGTTTGTTTGTTTGTGGTCACTCGCTTGTGCTTGTTTGTGTGTGTGTTTGTTTGTGGTCACTCGCTTGTGCTTGTTTGTGTGTGTGTTTGTTTGTGGTCGCTCGCTTGTTTGTGTGTTTGTTTGTTTGTGGTCACTCGCTTGTCCTTGTTTGTGTGTTTGTTTGTTTGTGGTCACTCGCTTGTCCTTGTTTGTGTGTTTGTTTGTTTGTGGTCACTCGCTTGTTTGTGTGTTTGTTTGTTTGTGGTCACTCGCTTGTGCTTGTTCGTGTGTTTGTTTGTTTGTGGTCGCTCGCTTGTTTGTGTGTTTGTTTGTTTGTGGTCACTCGCTTGTTTGTGTGTTTGTTTGTTTGTGGTCACTCGCTTGTGCTTGTTCGTGTGTTTGTTTGTTTGTGGTCGCTCGCTTGTTTGTGTGTTTGTTTGTTTGTGGTCACTCGCTTGTCCTTGTTTGTGTGTTTGTTTGTGTGTGGTCGCTCGCTTGTTTGTGTGTGTGTTTGTTTGTTTGTGGTCGCTCGCTTGTTTGTGTGCTTGTTTGTGGTCGCTGGCTATTCTTTGAAAAGTGGGCTTGTGGGTAGTTGGCGGGTGCTCTGGTGTGGTTTGCTCCTTCTTTCCTATCAAACATCTATCGTCCTTATCTCCCCTCCTTTTTTTATGTTTGTTACTCTCTTGTAACACCTCTAATCTTCTGGCACTCTTATGACCTTGTGCAGTTTCGAGCGCCGTAAAATCTCTACTAGAAAAAAAATGTGTGTGTGTGTGTTTGTTTGTGGTTGCCTGCTTGTTTGTGGGTGGTTGGTGGGTGCTCTGGTGTGGTTTGCTTCTTCTTTCCTATCAAAAGTCTATCGTCCTGATCTCCCCTCCTTCTTTTTTATGTTTGTTACTCTCTTGTGACACTTTTTATCTTCGGCACTTGTATGGCCTTATTGTGTTGCAAGTGCCATAAAACTCTTATTGAAACCTCCCCAATATTTCCTCTGTTTTGTCACAGGGCGTGCTCCCCAAGTCCATGGACAGCCGCATCCTGAAGCCGTCTGGCCGAGGTCGGAAGCCGCGTGAGCCGGCGCGCCACCCTCAGATGATGTCCGGGGAGCTGCCGTTCCCCCCCGCCTCACTCTCCGCTCTCTCAGCCTTCCAGGGGGCGGCGGCCGCCGGGCTGGTCAGCAGCTTCCCCAAACTGCCCCTGGGGCTGCCCTTTGGCACGATGGCCGGTCTGCCGGGGCTCAACCCTCTGATGGGGCTGCAGGGCTTAGGGCTCCCGGGGCTGGGGTTCCCTCCACACCTTGCTAAGGCTATGGAGGAGGAGCTGAAGGAGAGAGAGAAGGAGCTGAAGGAGAGAGAGAAGGAGGCGGCGGGAGAGAGAGGAGGGGCTGGGAAGGAGGGCGGTCGAGGGGAGGGGAGTTCTGCGGGGGAGGAGGGGAAAGGAAAGAAGTCGGACGGGAAGAGTGAGCAGTCGTCGGCATCTACCTCGTCTCTGTCCTCCTCGCTGGACGCGGCTCACCCCTCGTTCCCCCACATGTACTTCAACCCCATGATGTACAACCCCCTGCTGGCCGCCGCTGCCTCGGGGGGACTCCCCAACTTCCCCCTCCCCACCTCTCTCGGGGGACTTCTACCCCCCGGTCTGGTGGCCCCACCGCACTCGTCCCCCTCCCCCATCAATGGTCAGCCCGACACCACCCCCTCAGACAGCCGAGACAGCAGCAGCAGCAGCAGCAAACACCACCAACAACAGCAGCACCACCGCCACCACCACCAGGACCAGCAGTACCACTACGACAAGCGCCGTAAGCACCAACACGCGCCGCACCACGCGGAGCGACCCTCGCAGCGCACGGCCTCCCCCACCGCCATCCCACAAGCCCACGGTGCGGAAGATCTCTCGGCCAAGAGGCACAAGTCGTCCTCCTCCCCCTCCCCCTCCTCGTACCAAGCTCAGGATCTGTCTGTCCACCGGGCCTCGTCTCATCTACCATCATCAACGTCATCATCGTCGTCGTCATCTCACCAAGCCCAGGAACAGGCGACGGACTTGTCCATGAAACCAAAATCCAAATCTGGGGACTGCCCCTCGCCGTCACCGGTCAGCTCGTCCTCTCATCGTTCGTCGCCCTCTGCCCGAGCCCCGTCATCGTCATCCTCATCGAGCGGGCTCAAAGTTCCGGGCAAAAACAAAATCCAGGGATCTCTGAAGCTGAATAGGATTTTAGATTCTTTGAAAGACCGTGTTCTGAAGGGAGATTCGAAGGAGAAGAAGGTGGAGAGGCCGGAGGGTGTCCCTGGCGTGTCGGAGACGGAGGGGAAGGAGAGTGTGGACTGTAAGCCCACAGAGACAGTCGCGACCACCCCAGTGACAGACGAGGGAGGGGAGGTCGCTGCCAGTATAGAGGCTGCTCAGTCAGGGCAAGGGGAGGGAGGAGAGGGAGGGGAGGGGGCTGAGGAAGGGGCCGACAAGTAAAGGCTATCATCCCCTGCTGGTCGAATGGCCGGTCTCTCGCTGTGTGTGGTTGGTGTGGTTCAGAGAAGAGTGAGCGTCGACTGGGTGGGGTGGCGATGTGGAATTGGCCAAGCTTTGTGTGGTGTTACATCGGGGAGCTTCGAGGGACGGATATTCGTCGGAGGTGATCAGTTCTTGTTCTTCTTCAGGCTCTCAACTTGGAATGTTCCGGATTGGAAAAGTAGCCGAGTCTTTTTGTGTGAATCAAAAGTTGTGAACAGCGTTGTTCAAGACTTCCAGAAGTCTTACCATCCACATCTCTATGGATGGAGTCTCAATCGGATTGCTTGCATAATTGGAGCTACCGTTTCAACTGTGGATTAAACTGGTCAGTGTTTTCGAGCGACCGCTGAGCCGGACAGTGCTGTAGAGGAGCCCCTGTATGTCCACTCGTCCTCCAGTGAGGTGTCGGGTGAGGAGAAGTTTGTGTGGGACGCGGACTGGACACCACTGGTCATCTTGTCCTGTCCGTCGTCCGGTGCTGGGAGTGACCAAGGATATACCAGTGAACTCGATGCGCTAGTGAATGCTTCTTGTAAAGCTCTTTTTTTTTTTTTC